CTGTAGTAGCAGAGGAATGGTAGGGGAATTAGGGGGTAGCACCAACCTACCGCGATAAAGGAGAAGGTCCCCTTGAATGGAATAACCAGCTGGGTGTGGCACGCCCTCGCGAATAGCTGTCCGTATAGCACGAAGCTCTGGGTCATTATCCGTCTGATCAACGAACGCGGCCACATTCACACCCCGTACCACACTCAAGACACCCAATTCCATTGCTGCCAGTAATCGAGATAACGCATCAGCAGCTGAATTTTCGAGTCCCCGCTTATATTCGATGTCGAAATCATAACCCAGAAGCTTAGCTATCCACCGTTGATATTCTCCGGCAATGACCCTTTGTTCGAGTAAGAACCGAAGGCTTTTTTGATCTGTACGGAAGATAAACCGACGGCCCAACAAATACGGTCGCCACTTCTGAACGGCKAACACGATGGCCATTAGCTCACGCTCATACACCGCTTTTAGGCAATGAGTAGGGGGAAGGGCTTGGCTAAAAAAGGCAAGCGGAGGCTGGTTTTGCATCAAGACAGCACCCACACCTACGCCGGAAGCGTCAGTTTCGAGCACAAAGGGCTTGGAAAAGTCAGGAAGACCGAGGACAGGAACGTTCAACATAGCTGACTTCAATTGCTCAAAGGCTCGCTGTGCTGTGTCGTTCCATGCAAAACCCGCTTTCTTAAGTTGTTGAGTTAACGGCAAAGCAATAGTACCATAATGAGCAACAAACCGCCTATAATATCCTGTCAATCCCAGAAAACCACGCAGTTGCTTCACAGTCTTGGGGGTAGGCCAACCTTTCATGGCTGCCAATTTTGATGGGTCGGCGGCAACCCCTTCCGCGGATACCATGTGGCCCAAATACTCAATTTGGTGCTCAGCAAAACGGCATTTTTTTGCATTGACAACCATATCCTGCAATATTTGAAGAACAGAAGCTAAGTGAGAGGCATGGTCCTCTACCGTCGAGCTATAGATTAAGATGTCATCGAAGAACACCAACACAAACCTCCTCAGGTATGGTCGTAGTAAATCATTCATAATTGACTGGAATGTCGATGGAGCGTTGCGGAGTCCAAAAGGCAACCAAGAACTCATAGTGGCCCTCGTGAGTACGAAAAGCCGTCTTGTGTACATTTGCTGGATCGACTCGTATTTGGTGGTACCCCGACTTTAGGTCAATTTTTGAAAAAATTGTAGCCCCATGCAATTTGTCCAAGAGCTCATCCACAACCGGGATCGGAAAATTGTCCGGAACAGTGGCCCGATTTAAAGCCCGGTTGATGTAACTATGAGTAACTACTTTAGTTAACTTTGAGTTAGTTAGTTAGTTAGATAGTTAAGTTGTTAGTTCTTCCCATATCCCTAGGATATTTCCTATAAATAGCTGGTYATTTGTAACTTTTCCTACACTTGAATACAATCCTCGTTTTCTCTCAAACTTGCCTACACCAATTTGGTATCAGAGCAACCAACGTCCTTGGGTAATTGTCCATGGTGGGAAGAAAGAATGCTCCGGTAAGCGGAGATTCTTCACTCGGTGACAAAGAAGCGGAACCAACCACCGCTCTCTCTCCACGGTCATCAACCATTAACTTGCTGATGGTTGAAGGAGCTGTTGAAAATTTAATGTGGTTGAGATTAAGCAAATCTTGAATGTTTTGGTAGACAAGATTGATGGCCTGCAGATACAACAAGAACAACCAAGAAAAAAGAATGGCAAGGAGGTTCAAGAACAGGGGGTTGCTGTGGACTGCGAGACACAACATCAAGTGCCAAGACTGATGAAAGATCCTATTCCTTTTAAAGAACCCCAACCTGTTATTCGTCAACGTTCGGAATTAGCCCAAAATCCGAAGCAAGAACCCTACCCCAGAACCCTTTCTAACCATCAATTTGATCAAGACTATACTATGCCCTTCCACCATACCAAGAAMGACAGCAAGAACAGCGTGCGCGTCGTCGGTTTGTTCAACATCCTCACCGACGACAATTCCCTGAAGATTCATCTAGTGATGAGGAGGATATGCCATTGTGGGATGATCGGCAACAGCAGTACAACCCTTATCAACCCCGCGAACCCAGTGACTATAAGATGAAAGTCGATCTTCCTCCGTTTGATGGCAGGCTAGATATCGAAGGCTTTCTTGAATGGATCAAGAATGTAGAAAGCTTTTTTGAATACATGTCGACTCCGGATCACAAGAAGGTAAAGTTGGTGGCGCTAAAATTGAAAGGAGGGGCTTCCGCTTGGTGGGAACAATTGGACACCAACCGGCGGCGTTTTGGGAAGGCGCCTATCCGCGCTTGGGAGAAGATGAAGAAACTTATGCGTGCCAGGTTTTTACCCATCAATTTTGAACAAATCTTATATAATCAATACCAAAATTGTAAAYAGGGCACACGATCGATAGCAGACTACACCGAGGAGTTCCATAGGTTGGGGGCAAGAACCAATCTTGGAGAGCCCGATCAATACCAAGTAGCTCGTTTTATTAGTGGTCTTCGGGCGGACATCAAAGAAAAGCTTCAGCTCCAACCAATTGGAT